CCGACCGACAGCTGAAACAGCCAGAGCGTTTAAGAACCGTGTTCAACAAGCATGTCGACCTGCATCTCAACTGAAAGCAAACTGTGTAAAGATATCAGCTAAGACAGCGACTGGTGACTGGTTGGGCCCAACTGGTCTCAAGGCTGAACAGGTGCGAGGCTCAACGGCAGAGCGATACAATAAATGAACCAGCCTGTTACCTGATCGTTCAAGATCGTGGTTGTGCTTTTTCAGGCACAGCCTCTCAGCAGGTGAACCATTCAGGGTTCAAGGATGAGGAATCGATCAGGGTTCAACAAAAATGGAACCGATCAGCGTTCAAGAACCGTACAGGGTTCAATGCAGTAGGCAACCCTACCGTAGACGGCGCATTGAACGAGAAACCGTCTAGAGACACGCTTGCGCAATCTTCCCTCTGACTTGTCTTGGTTGAATCGAAAATCTACTTGCAGAGGTAAAGATCTTCAGCCACATAGGCATTTAAAGGATTTTCGTCAACATGCCAGGCTTGTGGCTTCTCTGGTTGCCATGCGGAATCAAAAAGACTCTGTGGGGCTTTTGGTTTAGCCCCATGCCACTTCGGATGAAATAGCACGTACACCATGTGACGTCTCTCACGGCTTCCCCTCCAAATGCTTAGCTTCATTGGACCAGGTTCGCAACTGGAGGCTTGGCCTCCCCTGCTTTCTTTTATAGTGCGTCCCCTCGTAACAGGGTTCCCCACACACACACACACACTCACTCACACCAAACAAACAAAACGACGAGTTGAAATCGCTAGTGAGCTAGTGGTCAGGCTAAGATTCTGCTACAATCGTCACCGAGGTGGAGCTGCCCGGGACGACTCGCCAGGGTCGTTGTCAAAGGCCTTTCCACTCCCTCGGGAGCGTTCGTTCTCCGGTCAAATAAAGTTGGCCATCCCTCCACGGTTGCTTTCGTTGTTCTAGATTTCCGTGCGGAAAGACCCATCAAGCCACCTTCGACACAACCGACCCTAACCTAACTTGAGCTGAAGCCTATCCCGTTGGATAAGGTCGGTACCTGCTATCACAGAATGTGTTTGCAGCTTTGTCATTCATTGCAAAGGGCTTTTGCAAGAACGCCTGCTTCCATTGTCCATTTCTACATGCTACATACAACACGAAGGAGGAGAACTGCAAGCACGATGCAGCCACAAAAAACCGTTGAGCACCTGACCTGCCCAAAGGACACCAATCCCGAGCCAGCGCAATGCGAGGACAGGTCCATGCCACTACTTTTGTTTGGCCTAAAGACATTGGGACTGACCTGTTGCACGGCCCTCATCGTCAGAGAGGGAATGTGGGCGCACACGCAAAGCTCCGAACAAGCTTAACGCATGCAATGGCACAAAACTGGGCAGTCTAGCCGCACACCTGGCATCTGCCCAGGAAAGCCACCGCATCCACCTCACAGCCCAGTTCGACAAAACCCAATGAAGCTGTGATCACACTAGTGCATCACTGTCGAGATCGCGTCCCAGCTGTGCTCCTACAGAGTTCGCAAATTTGAGGCAAGGCCGTGCAGACTGCACCTGTCAAAAGACCAGGTCGATGCAAGGACTCCTGCAGCACCATGCATCGGAGGACATCCTGCCAAAGGCACCTGCGAATTGAACGCTCTAGCAAATCCGTTTCTGCAACATCTACCTCAGAGTTCGACAGAGCACCTCCATGTTGGGAAGCAGTGGCTGACCTGGCAGCCCACCTCTGTAGCCAGATCCTTTAGCAGGCACTCTTCTTGGACTGGGACACCACATTGCCAAAAAGTCGAACCCCGGCCAAACATTCAACCGAGGCAAGCTCCATCGGTGTTTTAATGGGAGCGTTACAACGAAACCAAGAATCTTACAGCCCCAACAGGCCTGCTTTTCTGGGCAGCATTGGTTCCACTAGTCCGAGTTCGACTCTTCGTTCTCGAGCGACACCGTCACTCTCGTAGCCGTCTGTGCTTTGTCGTGCAGGGATTCATGAAAACCACGCGCACAACCGTGCTAGCAACATGGCTAAGAACGGGAACGGATGGCTATGAAGTTCAGCTCTGTGTCCGCTATGGCATGCTATGGTCAAGGGCATTGCTCAGAAGCAACACTGGACCGAATGCTGTACAGCGAAGTCGACTGTCCAGTGCCCCTATTCTCTAAACCTGTGGCCAGATCCTGACCGATGTGCTGGAGCCTGCAAGCTGAATCCTGTACCCTGTGGTAAGTTGCATACCAAAGTCCATGGAGTCTTGTTGGTCGCGTGTGCTACATGTGACTCAGGTAAATGTGGAACATGTGACACTGACAACCCACTGACGCCTGCTGAAAGGCCAAGTACACCAAAGCAAAAGACTTCTCCCTGCATCACATGTGAACGGAGTAAGCCTGATCTATATCACAACAACTCGAAGTTGAGACGAACCCCACAGCTGAAATTGTGAGTTGTTGCTGCAGTTCATGAAATGCTTGCACCATGCTGGCTGAAGACTGCTGATCTTGATGGATGTCCCATCCACAACCGTTGCTTCCACGAACCGGTGGGAAACGCTGTACTGGTAGAGGGCATGCAAAATTCTTGAGTGTGACTCCCTAATAAAGTACCTATAGAGACCCAAGCACACAGACGCATACGATGACAAGCGGTTCCTGGCCAAACTCCGGCAGTGGAACTTACTGCCGGGGCTGGAGGAACTCCAAGGCCACCCAGGCCTCAATACAAACATCACAAGCATCACTGAAACATGTTTTCAAGCCTGCACCAAAAACCATCAGCATAATGGGGATCTAGCATGGAACATCTGCTTGCATTTGGCCCTCCAGCACGGGTTGAAGTTGGGAGCCTTTGTCAGTCACATTGATGTTTTTTGGCCTGGAACATCGACATATCAACAAATGCACGAACTTCTCTGAGGCTCGACGCAACAACTGGTCCTGCTGCGCTCGCAGCTGCTGCATTTGCTTCTCCAGCTCATTCTCCCCATCATCCCTGTCCACGGGCTGGCCTGAAGAAATTGACAGCAACTTGCTGCTACGCCTGAAACAGAGCAAAGTCTATCTGTACACAACGGTGTTCCTGGAATGCCCAGTTTCAGCAGATCACCGAGACGCATAGAAGAGGTTCCCTGCCGTGGGCGGATGAGGGAAACTCAAACATGTGTGGCGTATGCGGGCCTCCGCCTCAGTGGCTGCTCCTTTCCTAAGAGCGGCATGCGAACAGCAACAGCCCGACATGCATGCGTTCGCCATGTGCGTTGCAAGACGCGTCTTGCGAGGTCGAGCCGAGACCTTCTTCGGCGACGCGAGATCTCGGAGCCAGCGCCCATCCTCCCGCGAAGATCCGCGAAGCCTAGAGCCTAGCCTCGAGCGGTCCGAGCCCGCGAGTCCGAGCCTGCGCTGTCCCGAAGTGAACAAACTGTTCCAGGTCCTATCAGCAAAGCAGCACGCAGGCTGCTTGACCTTTACGTTGCGGGCCTCTGGATCTGGAGCTTTTCCAAGGAATCCTGTCAAGTTCACGATCGTGCGAAGCACTCGTCACTCATTGCAAGGCTTGGCCCACAGCTGCCTGCATCAAATGGCACATCCGGACCTGGTTCTCACAGAGCCCCGGTGTGGCCACAAAGCTGGGGGGTTGGCCGGGTTGGCCTGCTCCCAGGTCCACGTTGTCCTTCTGAAGCAATCTCACAAGAAAGTTCCATGGTGTTCTCTCGAGGAGCTGACCCAAGGATCGGCTCGTTGTGTCGGGGAGGCGGGCGCGCTGTTGCCACGGTGCGGGGAGCCAGGCTCATCGGAGCCTGTTCTACGGATTTCTACAGTTCTGAACGCTCGTTTCAGGCAAGGCAGGGGCTCTCTGCGCCTGATGCGAATTCATCACGAACGTCAATGAAGGTGTTTCGCACCACAATTCCTCAATCGCTTGCTATCGCAGCAGGTGGCCTGGTCTCTCCACCGAGGCCGCTACTGGAAGGAGAGTCGGGCCCCATACTATCTGGTGAGTCGGGGCTGTCAACGCTCACCGTGCTCGGAGGTGAGATGACCTGTTCCACCTGCAAGAATTGCACGCGAGGGATGAGAGGCTCCGCGGCTCCACGTCGTAAATGAAAGTGGGGCAGGCACGAAATTGCATCACTTACTAAATAGCAGATGATACTAGGGTTTGCAATCGAAGACAACCGCTGAGCCCAATGCTCATGCTACTAATGTGCAGCTAGCGGCATGTGTTCAATCATGTGGCACGGCTCCCACGCAAGCCTACTATGCTGGAACTTAACTGTGCAATAACCTTCGATGCTCGTCCTGCACTACTTCTGTTGGCATTTCCCTCCTTTTGAATCGGACTGTGTCTCGCATTGGCGCCAAATTCATAGCGGAAATGTATCTTGACAGGAGTAGAAGGTGGTGATCTCACTTGAAGTCGATGCATGTGTGCAAACAAGTTGCTGGGTTCGCGGTTTGATCTGCGGCGGCCTTGCCAAGCAGACTGTAGAGCGCTCGTACAGGCCTGAACGGGCAGGCCTGCTCTCTCTGTCTGCGAGGCGGCACAGTCACTGGAGCTGGCCGCCGGACCTGTTCAGCTGACTTGCACGAACAGGCACGATCGTGCACCGCTAGAAGGGACAAGCGGCCGCCAGTCGTCCTCGGCCATCCGAGCTTGGACTGCTTTCACCAGCTGGCTGAGTGTCCATGGCCTAGCAGCGAAGCGGCTCCTCCCCTCTTCAACTCTGCTCTGCGCTTGCGCCTTCCTGCTCCGGCAGCACGCCGGATCCCACCCAGTCCCGGTGTCAGAGCTTGAGCCCAGAAACGTGGGATAGCTTGGACTTGTTTCTGCACCGGTAAATTCAAGTTTCGACCCCCCACCCATGGCAAAGCAGATCCAAGTTTTCAGCTGCAGCTTGTCACAGTGAGAACACCTCGGTGGGTGTCAACCTGGGCCATATATGCACATGAGATATGCACATGAGAAGAAAGGAGCAGATGAGGTGGTGGGTCGCGAGGCTCCAACCGCAACGATGCGCACTTGAAGTTGGTCGCCTGTCCTGGAAGTGCCACAGTCGCTTACATTGAGGTTGTCAAGGAAGCACTTCCACATTTTCCCCATGTCTTGACACCGTCCGGATGCTGGATGAGGGCTCCAAGAGCAAGGCTTGTGCAGCCGACCTCATTCTTCTCGCGCGCTCGTTGGAGCTGCAGCAACGGCGCACCAAGGCCCGATCCCGCCGTGTGGATGACTCACACTGAGCATTGTCCCGAAAGGAGTGTCTCCTTGCACCTGACAAAGCAAAAACAAATAATGTGATCATGTCGTGATGTCGTGCTGTTCCCCTGAAAAGCTGAACTTACAGCAAAGCAGACCAATGGCGTACCAATCTAGAAAGCTGGCTTTTGCTGGAACCTATCATCCGCAATCCTCTCAGAATCGAAAAACCTCCGAACAATGAGCTGTACAATCGCTTCAACATTGCGTCAGAAATAGATGCGAGGTTCATCGACAATCCGCAGAATGACTATACAATCGCAATCCAGAAAAACAATCGTTCAACACGTGACAGTGAGTCACCCTGAGAAGCAATCCAATTCCAGAAGCCACAATGGACTGCGTTGTGCTATCATCTCGCATCTTACTCAAAACCAATCACTGGCCAATGCCACGCCATCGGCTTGGATGCCCAATGCTCTCAATCCACACGACTTGTCAAATGGGAATGACAATGGCAGATTCACTCGCTTCGTCAATGTGGACATTGTTGGAATAGCCTTCATCAATGGCGTCTTGATCTAAATACAACTCCTTTGTTGTCCAATCGACAATTTAGCCACTATGCCTCTTGTCCTGCAAGCAGTTCTCCGCGAAATGGGAATGTGACGGGCAATGCACCACCGTGCCGGCGAATGCCCTGGCTTGGCGACGTCGCTGAGCCGATTTGCCAATTTCCCGCGTGTAGTGAGGAGCGTTGGTAGTGCTCCCTTCAATAGCGGGAGACAAAGTACAGCAATGGGCTCGTTCCACAATTCAGAGAAGTGATGCGTGAGCTTGGTGAAGGCACCGGCAATCGTGGTAAAGTAATTTGCTTGGCGGAGAGTCAAACGGCTCAATACCCTGCGGACAGTCTCACCATAGTTCATGGCATGTAGCTAATCCTCGGCAACACACAAAGGCAATGCAACAAAGAATTGCAATGGAAGGTAGTCGTTGGCAATGCGCGAGGACGCGAGGACAAAAGTGCTGGTGCATCCTGTTCGGGAAGGCAATGACCATTGCCATCTTCAAACGGTGCGTGAGGTAGGAGTACAAAGGCCAAATTCACCTCTGCACTCGGAATGTCCAGCCATGGGTCCAATAGACCCCAGGTAGCAAAAGGCAATTCCTCATGCACAGACACTCCCGAAACCAAACGCTCGTCGGGCTAGGCTAACCGTGATGCAGACGGCTCTCCTGAAAGATGCGGCTACGAAGGAGAGGCAGTTCACTACCCCGCTATCCCCCTGTGCGAAACGCCCACAGCCCTGGCGAACGGATACGCCGAACCAAGCGGCAATGGCAGGGGGTGAGGCAGCAAGGGGAGGGATAGCGGCAGGGATACCGGCAACAAGAAGCGCGAAACGGATCAGGCGACGCAGGGTTCTTCGCGGACAGCCGACGGCAAGCCGATGTGCTTTCGCTTCAACGCTAAGAACGGCTGCAAGAAGGGGATAAATGCCACTTCGTCCATGTCTGCGCGAAGTGCCTGGGAGATCACCCGGCTACCAAGTGAAGCTAGCGCCGAGGCTACAGGGGCTAACTGACAGCGGCTGCCGCCGCAAGAGCCTGTGCCCCGTGCTAGCCTTCGAACTCTCTGTCTCTTCGCCGGCACGCCGGCAAGGACAGAGCTGCTGGCGTCCAGGGCAACCTGAAAAAGCTTGTTTCTACCTTGATGCGGGAGATACAAGTCACTCTGGTGGATAAACTCGAAGGTCGCAAGTTCGACCTGAACAGCAAGTCCAGGATACGTCAACGGTACCTGGATATGATTGGAGAAGGCTACTTCGACATGATCTTCATGTCGCCACCATGAGCTACCTTCTCGAGAGCGATTTGGGCTAAATTCTCTGGGGCGCGACCGGTTAGAAGTCTTCTGCACCCAAGTGGGCGAGAAGTGCTCCCGGCTAAGGAACGAGACAGAACGATAACTGGTGACCTGTTTGCTGATTTTGTTTGAGATGTTTCAAAGCTTTGCCCAGGGGAAGGGTAGGTGCCTGGCTTTTGAACCACCAGAAGATCTGGGAGCTATGACAGCTGGGCCCCACAGGGGCGAGAGACCGGCTGCTATGTGGCAATGGCCGCAACATTCGGCGTGAGGTAGTCCCCCTCTTGTAGCCAGTGTAGCTCTTCAGGAGGTTGAAGCCCTCGCCTAGCCACCGCTCATCCTCGAAGTACGCCTTCTCCGAAATGCAGACCGGAAGCTCCTTGATCCTTCGGCTAGCTCCCGTGGTTTTCGTCCTTCCAAGGATGGTACTTAGCCTTCCCTCGCTCAAGCTCATCTCGGCCGGGATCACAGCCTGGAGGTCCGACCAGCGAAGGCTCGCCCAGGCCCATATCCTCCAACTTTTGTTCCCCGGGAGTTATCCAGGACAAGCCTCTCGAACCGGACCTAGGTAGCCGCAGGATAGCGCGGGGCGTGAAGGGGGCCTTCCAGGACAACCTCTACACAATAGTATCCTTGGTAGCCCATGCTATCCTACCTGCTGTAGCTCTGCTCTCCTGGTCAACTCGCCCCTTTCTATCCAGGAGACGGTCTTCAGGATGGCCTCGGGACCTGTCCGGCCGCAGGGCTGGTCGACCCTAGCCACCAAGTAGAACTCGAGGTCAACAAGCATTTCTTGGGGGCTCGAGCCTCGTAGCCTCACGTAGCCAGAGCCGCCAGCGCCCATAGATGGTCACATATCTCTGTAGTGTGCTCGGCCGGGTCTTTCCAGCCAGCATCAAGATAGCCCTCTCTGGGTCCAAACTCCCCCGGAGCATCGCTATCACGGGTGCCTGGCTCAACTTTAGCTCTTCTCGCAACTTGGCCGCCCAAACTCTTTGTAGCCGCTCATCGCGGACTTGAGCGAGCGCACCCTCGTCCACTGGCCTCCTCTGCCGCTCTCCCTTCGAAGGCGCGGGCTCGCATCCTCCCGTGTCGAAGCCGGGCTAGCCCCCACACTAGTGGCCTAACCAGCCTGAGACCTCTCCGAACCATACTACCGTCGCCAGGGACGGAGGGGACGACATCGCACGGAGATGCTATCCTCGTTTCCTTTCCCCCTCCCCCGAACTACTTCAAAGTTACTCCCCCTGAAGAGGGTGACTTTACCCAGAATGGCCACGGATATTCACAAGTGTTCATAGCACTTCAAAGTCAAGCTATCTCCTGCTCGCTCAAACATGTACTGCATGCTAGCACTGACGAGCGAACGATAGCGAAATACAAAACTTCGTTTCTAGCCGAAAACCTGCGATGGTTTCGGTGGGAGGGTACTGTAAACGATGCTAGCAGACATAGTTGTAACTCGTACCTCGTCACGAGGTTCGCTTCCCGCCTACGGCCCATCCCAAATACGGGCATGAAGCAGGACCTCCCACAAACCCACAACAACATGCCGCCTGCGCAAGTATAGAGTCGATGTCCGTTGACTGAATAGACGGGCGAATGACAAGGCAAACACTTGCTGCTTTCTGATAGCAAGGCATCAGATCTCGACGTTCAGCCTGACTCCTGATCCGTTGCTGACTACGAAACCACACATGCAGCAAAGTTGGAAAGTGTCAGCTCAAAGCCGACACTGAATCTAGCTTGGAGTTCTATCAACAAGGGCTCGTGCAACTGGCTCGTCGCTCAAGTTGCCCATACAAGCTACTCGTGAGGCTTCCCTGTGCTCCCTGCTACGTCTGTTTGTCTGTGGCTTTATGCCGACACGGCAGGCCTGCTCCCCTGATCAAACAACAAGCTGCAACCCGATGCCTTGGCATGTAGTTGAGTGTCCGGGGAGATTCCGAGGAAGTCCTTCAACCGATGTCGAAGAGCCTGTTCACTGACACACGTACGCGAATCAATGCACTCAACACGGGCACCCTCAGCCCGCCGCACGAATCTGAAGATCTTGCGCATCTGTGGCATCCGGTGGATCAGTCGCCTCCTATTCAACATGTATACGGCGCTCCAGAGACTGGTAAAAAGCGAGAGGGCCCCGGCCTCGGCAGAAACGTGCAAGCTTGCCTCTTGACACCCAGTAGTGGTCCCCAGCAGTCAATGCAACTTCCCCAAAAGCTCATCGAAATGTGCTCTACACGAACACTGCAGGAGGCAGAACACAAAGTCACAGGGCCTCGTCTGTCGGAGTCGGAGCCTTCATCGACAGGGCCAGGAGGCCTACAACGCACAAAAAGTTCCACTTTTCGCAATGGGAGAAGCATGCAGAAGCCTTCCTCCATCTCACCAAGTATCCTCACGGTCACCTTTTGGCCAACTGCCTCAGCTCCAGTGTCTCTGTGGACCACCAACGCAGGACCCGGGTTCGGATCGAAGAAGCAAGCTTAGGGCGTAGGGCTCCGACGAAAGCTGTTTGCGGCTCCTCTCTCTCTCTCTCTCTCCGTCTCGGACGTTGGTTCACTGACCATTCAGACAAGGAAATGAACTCGAAGGATCCATCACCGTACCGTCCTCCAGATAATGGTCCATCTCAGTAACATACACCAACCCACGGCCGCTTGGAATCCGCACGATCAGCCCAAACTTGTGTACCTAGCGGCTCTAGCGAGCTCAGAGATGTAAACCGAATGGTTTGGGCTTGTCATGGCACGCCTCGTCGACGCTTCCATGCATCCACCCCGCACGGGACTCCTGCAAATCGATGGCCTTCGTGGACAGGAACAGCCTGCACGATGCTGGAGGGGCTGAAATGAGCAAAGCTGCAACTGAACTCGTGGTCCGGCGGCCCGGCGATCCCCCTAAATCCAGATCCGCAGCAGAAGCAGTAGCAGCAGCAGCAGCAGCAGCAGCAGCAGCAGCGAAGGCCCCAAACAAAAATAGGTTCCAGCTGGTGGCAAAGCATATCTGGACCATATGATTTTCCTCTGCAGCGGTGTTGTGTGACGGATGCGACATGTGACAAACAACGTGTTCAACGTATTGCCCATGCCCGGGTCATGCCCTTCTGGCTGCGGACTTGGACTAGCTGCCCCGGCACCTTCCAGCCACCACATCGACAGACTTCACCCTGACCTTCGGGCCGTGGCATGCTCCGACAACTTTCCTCTTTGATTTGTCAAATACTGCAGGTAAGGCTAAGGCACGAAGTGTGGTTTCCTGCGATGCAACCAGGATGTTCTCTGAGAGCTCAGACAAATGGACCTGCGGATTTGTCACCATGCGTCACGCATGAATGGTTGCATGAGGCGGAACATGTGAGGCCCCCGGCGAGTCCCCACTGCTCGCGTCCACCTTTGCTGTGGTCTCATGATTTCTCTGCCACCACCGAAGCGACGAGACTTCCAAGCGGAGCCTCCTGGAGGCCTGACAGCGACGTAGATGCCTGCAATACTTTGTTGCTGTGCGTCATTGCGCTGCACTTACAGCGCACCGTAGCTGGCGGCGTGCAAGACCTGGCCCTCCATCCACTGGTCAGGTGTCCTGGCTTTACTTAGTAGTTTGACATGGTCAAGACAAGAATCCTGGTCCAAGACCGCGGCACATCCACGAAATCTGACACGTCTTGCCCATCGGCCAGACAAGCGCGTTCCTTCGACCAGCAGAGAAAGCCGCAGCGTGAACGCAATGTCGGGCATGCATCGGAATGTCATGCTTTATTGTAGGTTCGACAAGGGCTTACACAGATACACACATGATCGACTGCGGCTCCCACTGGCAGGATGGCTCCCGCTGGAGGATTGCATCACAGTTATGCCATGGCAGTCCATCATTTGCATTAGAGCACGCCAGGAAGAACGAATGACACCATCGTGCAAGACTAACTTGCTGGTTTTAGTGTGGTCAGCTGCGATTACGTAAAGCCTGCAAGAACCTGCCCCTCATCAAAGAATTACAACAGGAAAATGTGTAAGCTTTTCACGGATCACTACATCACGGCTGACCTTTCATCCAGTGGGGGATACATACTTTGGAGCGTTCAACAACAGGAGTCGCAATGATGGTGAATGCCGCCGCAGGGGCAAACTTGACAGAGTGCTGCACAGTAAGTTGCTCTATGCCGACGGCCGGGAACTGCAGCTCATACTGCTCTGGGTAAGAGAGATCAAATGCCAGTGGAAGTGGCTTGCTGAGTGATCGCGCGGCTCGGATCAAATGAAACAGAGATGTTTGATTGCCAAAGGCAAGGCAACTTGGAGCAGTCCCAATGCACACTTGTCGTCAACCCTCGCCGGATGTCGCGCGTCGGGCATCATAAACCCCGCTGTGCAGGTAGCACCGGACTCCCACGTGGCCCGCAAGAATTTGAGTGGCACGTCGTGTCACTGCCACGAACACAGTGCTTGTCAGCTGTTCAGATTCATGCTGTCTGGGTTTTGATACGGCTATGCTTCAGCTATGGCATGGGCAATCTAGCAATGGAAGCTTCACAACAGTTGCAACAATCAACGGTTGAGTTTGAACACATGTGGCTCACCGCGCAGGTCTTGTCCGGGCCGAGAGCCGTGTTTACAGGCACGCACGTCGAGCGGGCATGAGACTGATCTTTGCTTGGAGAGGAAGGGGGCTTGTCTGCAACTCAGATATGCAGTCAGCAACAAGGCGAGGTGTGCCCACCTCAGGACGCCCAGGATGTTATCCCATCTTTTCAGTGTGGATCTCAAGGCTCTAGCACATTTGTCCGAAAGAGTGTGTCGGCTGCTGTCGCAGTGGCGCGAACAAGTGGTTCGAAGGTGGCTCGCCTGATTGGGAATCACGAGTTCGCATGTTGTCCTGCTATCAACGGCTTGCTGGGGATGTTTGCCTCCATGAGAATGTCCTTAAAAGCAGTGATTGGCACATTGTCATGTGAGAGGCGCAACACGGTTGACAACAGTGCCCGGATCACGGACCACTCCAACCAATGGTTGTTGCAGTTTGAGAACTAGGTCGGAAAGCCGTTGCCAAAACCTCCGACAAAGGTGCTACGAGTACCGACGACTCAGTTTCTCACATGGCGACAACTTCAATTACAAACACGTGTCCGTGGTACGGATGTGTGTTTGTATCCATACGGTCTGCTAGAAATAATACCCATTGCACCCTCAGAGAGGGATGTTGCAGCGATTCGAATATGAACATCGCAGTTGGTGGTGTCATGCACGCCAGCTGCTTTGCACCGGTGTTCATGAGTTTCTCCATGTAACAAAATCTATACGGAAATTTCGTTCACTCGCCTACCGAAGCAAATCTGGCACGGGGGAAACGCTTGAACCCTGGCTGAGTTCCGAATATTGCCACGGCCTGGTAGGTGCTAGCGGCTGCTAGCGCTCGCCACGCGACGTTGCTATGCAAATCTCAGCTGGCTGAGAAGGGCTTGCTCCAGCCGTGTGGCCAGATTCCTGCTTTCCTGCCTCAGCTCATAGATCGCGCGTTCCATCTCCCAATTTTCTCGGCACCTTTGGCTGAGAAGTGCTTGCAGGTCCGTGGCGCGGTCCACATACTCTTGGATGAACTTCTCCTCATCGCGGAGGAGGCGGGCTTTTGTCACTGCGCTTGTTGAGAAGGCTTCCTCCGACTGGGTCTCCTTTTAATCCCTCCTTGCACTCTTTAACAGCAAGTCCCCACTCGAAGAACCCTATTCCCACCGAAGCAGCTGCTGTGTAGAAGGCTTCGAGGTCCAACCACATGGCTGCTGGTGTAACCAAGCTCAAGCCCTGACCACCATGGACCTGGGCCATGAACAAGAGAATCGGCTTTAGGTTGCCGATGGAAGCCACTGAATTCACGTTGGCGTTGCTCTTGCACTCCTTCAGCAGCTTTGCCACCGTTCGTTTTTCTGCGGCTGCCTCCTCGTCTGCTTGGCCGTACGGTTGCCCATCTGGAAGCACTGCATCCATGGAGGAGCTCGCTTATCCTCGATCCGCCCAGCGGTTTTGTTCCGATGTCGCTGTGATTGTCGCTCCAGGGATGCAAGAGATAGTCACGGCATTCTCTTTGACAGCTTGCTGAATCCACAGCAAACCGCATTGTAGGTGTCTCACGCGCCCGCAGCCCAGGCGCTGGCTTATGCCTTTGCAAGCTGCGCTGTCGGTTCTGCATCTGGTCTCCACCGTGAGGTTCTCCCCGACCAGGGAAACGAATGCAATCGCAAACATACATGCACTCCTCCCACCAGAGCAATAAACTCACTTTCACCAGAGCTCAAAGCCACACTGCGTCGGCTCCGGACAAAGCTTGCAACAAGGCTCCCACCAATACACATCTGAGCTGCTGTTCGGCTCTTTCTCGTGCGCCGGCATCCGGCCCAATCAGCATCTGTGATGGACTCCACGACGATCTTGCCACTGTCCTCCTGCAGTGGCCGATTGCCCTCAAAGGCAAAGCTCTTCTCGTGGCCGACCCCTCAGGCCAATCTGGCTTGAGAGGCCAGGGCAGGAGCAGCCAGAAACCGCAGCAAGAGCGACAGGATCGACAACAACCAGCTGGTCAGCTTTATGATGAGAGTGCATCCGGTGGAAGAGGGTCACTGGCGATAGCGCCAATGGACTCAGGTCCTGCCAACAATGGTTCCTCCCATGAACGGCCAAACTCTGTGGGAGAAGCGAACCCGAAGAGGCCACGTTTGCTACTTGATCCTCCTCGTCCTAGTGGCCCTGGTTCGAGTCCTGCCTCTGCAGCCTCTCCCAGCACTTTGTACCCGCCAAGCTTTGCAGGGATCCGTGCTGTCACCGGCGACGTTGCTGCAGATGAGCTGACTGGCTGTGATGGTTGGGACCCAGAGCTTCACAACGCCACGGAGGAGGAAAGCGAGCTTGCCGAAGAATACTTTGAGGCAAGCTGGGACGAGAATGCCGAGCATGCACCCGAGAACTGGCCCAAGTTGATGCCCAAGCAGATGCTGTCGAGTCGAGATAAAGAGGCTCCTCGACGAGTACCAGTCCTTTACAACCAAGGTGGTTCGCGATTCACGGCGCAGGTCGGGATGGGTGAGACGAACCAGGCTGGTGGAACGCGAGTTCATGACGCTTTCCCCGTACACCCAGGAGTTGTTTGCACCGGCCAGCACCCTTGCGGCAACGCTCGGCTTCATGGCTATTGCCCTGAACCGCGACCAGGAGCTCTGCACCTTTGACCTCAACAACGCCTCCCTCCAGGTGGACCAGCCGATGCCCATGACCATTGAGGCCAGTCAATGCCGCCTTGTTTGGCGAAAACAAGCAGGGCATGGTCACATTGCTGCTCGATAAGCTTTTCCTGGCCAGCATCAGTGCAAGTGCCTGGTTTAATTTGCAAAGGAGCTCCTGCAGAAGCGCGGCTACGCGAACTACTTCAAGGAGCCCACCCTGTTTATAAAGGACGGCGCCGCAAGCAAAGCAGGGTTGATCTTGCATGCCGACGATGGCCTTTTGGCTTCCACAAGGAGTGAGCGGGAAGAATTGCAAAGGCTCTTGGGCGAAAAGGTCAAGGTAGAGTTTTCCACCCCAATGGTGCATGCAGGTGACGAGCTGCATGTCCTCAAGAGGAAGTACATCAAGATGGAGGATGGCACTCAAATGGGCGGGACCTTGAAGCTTTGCTGAAAAGTTTGGGCGATGGACCTGCAGATGCTTCTTTCTTCTAGCCGGACAACAGCAAGGAGCTGAACTCGCAGGGGTCCAAGGAGTACCGTGAAGCTGTGGGCCGTCTTCTATACCTTTCAAGGCCAAATGTGCAGTTCGCGTATGCAAATTGAGTTCAAAGATGTCCTCGCCCACGGCTGGTTGTGGTGGGTTACCTGGCCGCCTGGCCCAGACTCCGGAGGTCGCCGGCGATGATGGGTCGGTCCCCGCCTCATCGAGATTCGGGTTTGGCGTTGCAGCTGCGATTGACAGAGCAGCCGCTCTTCCAGCTGCTTTTGCCATCTCCTGTAGGGTGGCACTGTCCGGGAGCAACGGTACATTCGCCTTGGCTCCAGTGCACAATGGGCGGCATCGCCGGCCCTTCCCATCGTACGACCAAGGGAAACCACGAACGCCCAAGACGCTTTTCAGGTCCCACTTCTGGTCCTCGCGCAAACGCCACACAGACCGCGACTCGAAGGTGCCGTCGCTGGTCCCAAGAACGTGGGCATTGTTGCGCTCGTTCATTCCCAGCCAAATCCCACCGGTCGACTGAAGGTCTCCTTTGCGCCGGCTTGGCTTGTGGAAGATGACTCGCTCGCCAAATGGGACCAAAGCTCCTTTGAACTTCCTTCCGCGCATGATCTCGTAGGCGGTGCCACTCGTGGGATTCGGTGCTTGGCTGCTTGAAGAACCATGAGTTTTGTGCTGGTGGCCCTCGATCTTGCCCTTCAGCCGGTCCTCCAAGAAAGCTTTAAGGGTGAGGGCGTTCCTGCGAACGGTGTCCACAGCCTTCTCCACCCGGCCGTTCGAGGCGTCTGGGAAAAGCAGCCAAGCCGTCGGGTGTGGTCATGCAGGACGCCCAGAACGAGAATTCGCGGAATGGACAGCGGAGTCCTGGACATTGAAGTGGACACAGTCGAGGGCAACCCGCTGCTCTTGAGGGAAAAGTTCTGCATCGCCCCGGTCGAGTCGATTATTCTTTCTTTCGGCCGCCTTCTTCGTTGCGGGCGGTCCTTGGGAACAAGCCGAGGAAAGCCTGTGATCGAGCGCGGCACCACGTCCCAATCTTGGCCACCGTGGCCTCGATAGCAACCTCGGCTGCTGAAGCAAAGGGCCCAAGCTGCAACATCCGAGCGCTACGGCAAGTGAACATGATGACGTTTGATGATTTGGGGCGGCTTCCTCCCGAAGCCGAGGCGCTTGCGGCCAGACATTCTACCGAGTGGTCTCCCCTTCTTACCCTGGCAGCGTCTTTGCAGAGCCCGAAGACGACGGCTCAGCAGTGCGAGGCATTGGAGACGAGCCTGAAGGAAATGACGTTGCAATGGGGGGCCGCGAGCTGAAGGAGGCCGACGATGAGCCTGACGGCGAAGAGCTTGATTGAAGGAGTCAAGCTCTCAGTGGAAGGAGGTGTGCCGCAAGTTGGGTTTGTCGGTGAGCGGAGGAAAGAACAAGGCACTTCGGCGACTTCGGATTCACTATGAGGTTCTGGAAAAGCAGTTGGCCTCGGAAGTGGCACGCAAAATTTTTGCCGAGCAAGAAAGAGAGCCGGGAGTTTTCCAAACCTCAGTTCTCCCTCCGAGTCGCCAACAGGAACTCTACATCGTGACGCACCACCCCCGGCGCAAGCTCACTGAAGCGAGTCACCGAACAACCTCCAGGTCTCCCTGGTGGCACGGTCGTGGTCCAAAGCGACGCAGGCCCCAGCGCAAAGCAAGTTGCGAATGCCGTGGCTGCCTGCAGAAGCAAGCTGGGCCTGCAAAGGCCCAAGGCCGCCCGCTGAGACTTCAAGAAGGTCCGGGCAGGAGATCATCATCACATCGGCGCCGGCCAGCCCAAAGCGACAGTCACCCTCATCATCGCCAAGCTGAGTCAGGTCGAACACTTCAGTAGCTCGGCAGCTGCGGGGTTTCGCGCACTCAAAGGTCTCCACCCGGTTCACATTGTACACCTCCTGGGCTTTCAGCGCGGACAGAATAAGGGAGACGCACTGGAAGAGAAGGTCGAGCTCGGCGTTTGCTGCTCCACCTGGTTCAATTTCCCTTGCCCTTCTGCGGGCATTCATTTTTCCAGTGTCCCTTCTTCCCCAGAGGGCACAAGTAGCGGGATCCAGGCCTTTCTTGGTCTTGCCTTTTCCGCTTCGGTTCCATGCTGAACTGCTCCAGCTAGTTCCGCCCCTGCTGCTGTTGCCTTGCTCATCTTGCCAACTGTTGGCCCATTGCTTTCCTCCTCCGTGCCAGCCTTTTCCTTCTCTGGGCTCGCCCTTCTTTCCTTTGTCGCCTTTTCCCTTTCCGTCCTTGCCTTTTCCCTGCTTTCCCTTCTTGCCCTTGTCTTGGCCCTTTGCCCTTCATGACATCAACCTCCATCGGCTGTGCTTCTCCATGGTCTCGGCTGTCGGCGCTCTTGCCTCGACGGGTGTTGGCCCACGGCGCGTTCAAGGACTCGTACCTCAAAATCCACTCCCTGACGTCCGCATACCGCGTGGAGGCTTGCATCTGCAGTTGCACCTGGGACTTCAGAGGTTCGCGCAGCTCAGTCACCACCGTGGCCAAGACAAGGTCCTCAGGGAAGGGTTTGCCTCTGCTGGCTTCGTATGTTCGCAAAGCCTCCTCGTAGCGAACCAGCTGGCTCTGGAGGTCAGCTTTGTCGTCAAATTTCCAAGCGGCTGATTGGCGAACCATCGCCAAAGCTCTCGCCTTCTCCCGCGGCTCCATTTCTCGCCGCAACAGCCTCCAAGCCTCCGGCCCATTCGTCTTATCAGCCATCTGCTTGACCAGCAAAAGCGCTGGCCCTTCAGCACATTGCAAAGCACGCCGAAGAGGCGCTGAGAGCGCGCTTCTTGATCAGCAGGCAAAATATCATGATCCACGGGCCGCTCTAGGTCCAAGCTGTCCAAGTCGGCCTCGTACTTGGGGTCGTTCGCCACCAACCAGTTTGTAAACTGGAAGGCCCATCCATTCCTTCCACGTCTTCAGCTCCTCCTCCCCTGTGGCCGGTTTCCAGCTTTCCACCTTTAAGCTCTTTGTCAGGCCGTCCACCCGGTTCGTAGAGGCGGAGGCTTCGGCAGCTACGGCTGCCCTCTCCGAAGTATCTATCAGCTTCCGGAAAAACGCCGTGGAAGGCTTGCTCCAAGCACTGCTTCACGAGGCGGTCTACATCCCCCGGGCCCAGTTGCACCACAGCCGGTGCTCCTTGGAGACCCGGTCCATTTGCACCTTGTCCATCCATTTCTGCTTCCTTTGCTCCAGCTAGTAAATACTTGCCGTTGCACCACCTAGGCCTTGAAACCCCACACGCACTGAAAACTGCTTTGCTCCACCAAGGCCGTCCAGGCCCACACGCGCTGAGGCTTGCTCTGTTCCACCACGGCCTTCCAAGCCCACATGCACTGACATTTGCTCTGCTCCACTCCTGCACTCCAGGCCACGCGCTGAAAAGTGCTCTGCTCCACCACGGCACCCCAGGCCGAACTCCAAGCTCAAAAACCGGCTCTGCCTCAACAACTTGAAGTCTTACGAAAAGAAAGGATTGTGGGTAGGCGACCGAGGTCGCAGCTTCCCAAGATTACAGATTGCAGACACGGCAAAGTGCAGCTGCAAAATTATCGGTGAAACACGGAGGGCCTCAAGGCTCTAGGGTCTATCTCACGAGGTTCCCTGGAGCTCCTAGTGAATTCGGCTAGCATGCAAAACTTCCGTAAGCACTCAGGGCTGCAGTCGAATGGTCCATGGTTTGTATACAAAGGGCAGGTGTCACTTGTTTCGCAGAAGTGGAAGCACGGCACGCAGCTACGGTTGCCTCCCTCGTCCACGCGTGGCTTAAGAGGTGCTTTGACCAGACCAGCAGGAAAGTCTGGTCATGCATGCATGACCTTCTCTAGGTGCTGATGCACGCAAGCAAGCAGGCAAGCAAGCAAGCAAGCAAGAAATGCGCGCAGCTGCCTGCTCCGCCGGCTTGGTTTGCAAGCGACTGCCTTGTAGACGCGCAAGTTGAACCTGCTATCGAGCTCCCGCGCACCGGAATATGGATCCAAACAAACGGAATGCCTCAAGGTCGGTTCTGATGTCCGCAGCACCCCCCTTCATAGAGAGCTCTAGCCTTGCAAACAAAAGGTGCAGAAGACCGGACAATTGCTTCAGTACCATCCACTTAAGGCTTGCACAGCCCTCCATGCTTGCTGCCCACAACCCGCACATGGACCTTCACAGAGATGCCGACGGGGCTGAAAAGGTAAGGGCTAAAAAATACCGCGTTTGCCTTGTCTCCAGGGATAAAGGCAGACTGCATAGTGCCACGCGGCAAGTCAATCCTCAAGCCACCGTCACGGTTTCCGAGGACTTTGCAGCCAACGAAACTGACTGCAGAAAACGGGAGTTGACCAGGAATCCCACCGGCTTATCGGGACGATACCCCGCTGGGCCACTTCGAGATCTGGATGTCTCACATCCACAAACCTCAAGTGACATCTTACAACAAACGGGATTGAACAATTAGAAGGCTGGGTGCTGCGCAGAGCTTCAGAGGTTACAGCATCTGTATCTGCGCAACATGGGTTGCATACATATTTCAAGTCTTACGGGAGATGCAGAAGCAGGGCCTGTTGAAACGACTGCTTCGAGCCATTGGCAAGCATAGACATCGTCAAATCCCGTACGATCCTAGCACAAGCAACCAAACATGATGAATTAACGTACATCGCTCTGCCAACGCTCCTGCATTGATCCAGAAGAAGATGACCTGCCTCTGTGCACACAGGGGGGCGGGGGACGAACGAAACAAGGAAGCTTCCACAGTGAGCTCCCAGCTGCTACGTCGCGGAGACACCGCCAAGTGTCCCCTCCATTACTGCTGCTCGCAAAGCTCCCGTATGCTGCAAAGAGAACTGTCGGCCTTTCAATATCGACATGTGAAACGTAAACCTGAGCGATTTGCGAAAGGGTTTCAGCATCCAACAGATGGCTGCCAGACTAATTGCAAGACTCGATTGCTGTGGCCACGACCTTGACCTCCTCACCCACTTGAATGATCTTAGACACCTGCAGAACAACACATAAGAAAAGCTCTTTTGCTTTATCATGCCAGTAGCAGTAGCAGTAGCAGTCGCAGTAGCAGTAGCAGTACCAGCAGTGGTGGTGGTAGAAGTAGTAGTAGTAGTAGTAGTAGCAGTAGTAGTGGGAGTGGGAGTAGGAGTAGGAGTAGGAGCAGGAGCAGGAGTAGGAGTGGGAGTAGGAGCAGTAGTAGTAGTAGTAGTAGTAGTAGTAGTCTTTAGTAGTAGTAGTCGTAGTAGTAGTAGTAGTAGTAGTACTAGTAGTAGCAGTAGCAGCATTAGCTAGCAGTAGTGGTAGTAGTTCTACAGCAGGAGCAGGAGAAGGAGAAAGGAGTCATCAGGGCTGTCTGTGTAGACTTCGCCGCCACAATACGCCTTGAACCTAGACCCACACAACAGCTGCTCTGAACTTGGAACCAGCCCTAAACCCTACTCCCTCATCTACAAGCCACGCACCCTATACAACTAAGCCAGCCGACACCAGAATCCGAGAACGCGCCGTCTGTACACAAACCCTTGCCTTCACACCCAATGCCGCACACACAACCTGCGCAGAGCAAAACCACCACTAAGCCCCAAAGACCCACACAGTGCACAAAAAGAAAAGTAAGCCAGACCTCTAACCGCTGTGACCACGCACCCACGCTCAAGACTAGCGAGCAAAGACCCACCTCTCTCGAGGCGATTGTCTTAGTGCAGAGTACCCAAACAGAATTATGTTTCGAAAGCCATATCACTGAAACGAAGTAGAAACAAAACCCAAAGCCGGGTCTACAACCATCCCTACACCCTAAACAGCACCGCAGGGTCACACACAAACTAGTGCAGAATGGAATGACAAGCCCAGCCATGCCAAGCCAAATCATATTGAAAAGCAAACACGCTTGTAGCCTATCTAACAGAAAGCTTCATTCAACACCGGCAAAATAACCCCAAGACCAAAACCTTGCACACAACGGACAGCGATTGGTCATCTTTTTGAGTTCGTACCGCTGTCTACATATCGTCGGATCGTCTAACCCCCCACTACCCAAAGAGTGCCACTAGAAGGATTCACTCTTACAGGATCCGTTCGGCGATAGGCAAACTCGATACACTCCGCAGCACAGCTAGAAGTGCATGCACAAAACACAGTCAAAATCACAGAAGCATGCATAGGTAGTAGCAAAGTAGCTACGTAGCTAAGCAAGTAGCCAGGTAGCTACGCACATGCACAATCTGATGGACCTATATGTGGTAAAGGGTTCGCTGGCCGAGTCTATCTTGTGTGTAATCACTTTTCTGAGTGTTTGCTACGCTGACATCGCGCGTCGTTTCTTGGCTTAGGTGCCTGCATGAAGACCTCAAAATGCTTGCGTGTGTGCTTGTGCCTAGACACATGCACGCACACACACTCCGACACAAACTTGCATCTGCATGTCGATACATCATCAGCTCGGACACAAGTCCGTTTCGAAGGCCTCATCCATCTCCGACAAATGAATCAGCCCGCGAGCCTCCTGTAGTGAAGGTTGAATGTTTTGGATAAAGAAGCGCAAGCACAAAGATTCCCAAAGCATCGCAGCCTGGCCTGGCCAGAGGGACTGAAGACATCCACCCACACACCATACGAAGCCTGGTTCGCAAAGATGCCGACATGGAATTGACTGAGTGTCCGTTCCGACGTCACCTCCTGTCTAACGACTGCCCGGAGCTGCTGCAAACAGTTCTCGAAGACAGAAACGTCCTCCACAAAAACATGTGACTCTGTGGACTGGCTTCTTGCATGCCACAAGCCGTCCTGTTTGCAATGGAAAGCATCACGTGAACTTTGCACCTGAGAACTTAACCAAGGACTCAAACGACTTGCAATAACTTCCTCTCATGTACATGCAAAGGCAACTGCACATGCGCGAACACCCCGGCGTGGAAATCGACCGGCAGAGTCCCTGACCATCGAACGGGGAACACGGCAGTTTTAGACGAACATCAAACGCTTGACGTGTGTACCGCATTGTAGGTGCATGTAAGAACCTGCACACCTAAATGTACATATATTTCTATAGATGTGTGTACCCGTATGCATCTGCACGTACCGGTACATTCGCAAATATGTCTACATATACACGTACATACATACATATGCGCGCATGACACATACCCACTTACAAGCACGTGAAGATGTGCACTTGTACAAAGTACATGTGCAAAAAATGTGGATATGTACGAAAACACCGACATACTTACTTACTTGCCTTGCTTGCATACATACATACATACATACATACATACATGCCTGCAATACATGGGTAGATACATCCACTACATACATACATGCATACATACAGCTCCTCACAGGCATACGAACATATGTACATCAACACCTAGATCAATGCATACATACACATACACATAGGCAGACAGACAAGTGTACATAGACATGCAAATGCAAACAAACATGCACGCAAACATATGAACAGAAGCATGTAAAAACAAAAAACCCATCAATACGTGCACATGTATATACATTCATATACATACATTTTTTCATAAACATATTACATGCAGATTTGCATGTGTGTCTGTGTGTATTTATATATATATATGCATGTACCTGGCTGCACACAGATGCATGCATACATACATGAATGTTGAAATAAACAATGCAAAAAAAATGTGGGTATACAACTGTGCAAGTAAAGGTATATATATATATACAAAGGGCCATCCTGAAGGTCTGCTTTTGCGCGCGCAATAATCCAGAAAGATATATATATATACATATGCATGCACATGAACGTAACCTTCAGGTACATGTATGCGCACATATGTACACAGTTGGAAATTTGTACGTGCACAGGTACCTTTACATGTATATGTACATACCCATATACACGTGTACGAAAAATAAACAAAGAAACAATCAAATGCAAACTTACACACATAAACAGAGAAGCATGCATGCAGGGACACGTTTTCACAATTAAACATGTACACATACAAAACGACGCATACATGTGTGCATATACATATACACATGCATGTACATATACATATACATATGAACATACATGTGCATGCATACATACTTTGTTGAAAAAACACAATCGAATCGTATACATATGTACATATTCGTAGACCCATTTGCATATGAATGCACAGCTACATTAGCTACCTTTACATAAATCTATATATTTTTTTTTATGTATGTCTGTTTGTATGTATACTTTATATATATATATATGTATGTGTGTATATATATATGTGTGTACATCTACACATGTACACAAGTGTATATACGTAAGTTGTACATATGCAACTATGTACGAATTTACTTTTGTTGATACATACAGCCATGAAGACGTATAAACTTGTATACCATACATACGAATATACATGTGAACCTATTATCTGCAAATCCAAATATTTAAATGTCCGTACATTCATAAAGACATAAAAACATTGACATAAACATATGTACATATGTACACATATGTGCACACACCCTTACATATGAACACATGTACACACATGTATACTTACATGCATGTACAAATAACTAACTACATATGTCTTCACATGATTGCATATGTTCGCATGTGTTGACATACGCACACATATGTCCACCCATTTATGTCCACCCATCTGCAAATGCAAATACAAACATATATACATATGTACATGTGTCAAACTGTACAAGATGTTGTTACATGTGAAGACATTCCAGGCTTAGGGTTTAAGGCTTTTGGTTTAGGGTTCAGGCCTTAGGGTATTGGGTTTAAGGTTCAGGGTTCAAGGTTTAGGGTTGAGGTTGTACACCTTTACATACATGTCAGTCTGCATCATCACTTAACTGTATATCTGCACGCGGACCTTGTGATGTGTGTGCGGGCGCAGGTAACAACAGTGATATGTACACATATTTGTTTTTATATATACATGTAATAGACATGCAAATGTGGCAGATCGGATGTATAACCTTTCACAGGACCTCGCAATCGCAGTCAGTGGAACCAGGCAAGAGCCTCACAGGATATTCTTGCTTTAGACCGTTACACAGTGCATCACAGCATACCTCCAGGTGAGCGGCTGATACAACCTGGAACGAAACTCGATGTAAAGACCTCGGCACCGTCGACAAAATGTTCGAAGCCATGTTTTCTTGCCCCTTCGGTGAGGTCCGCACATTCCGCGCTTGGAAACCGACGAAACCAGTGAGAATGCTCAAACTGGTAAGTGGGGATGCCTGCAAGCAGAGGTGCTGCCGGACTTGGATTGCTGTCGACGGGCCAACAAGGTGAGCCTTCACATGTTTGATTTGAAGCATTGTCGTCTTTTATGAAATCGATGACATGCTCAACACTAACATAACATTGCATCTGCTTGGCCACACCCAACACTTCTCTGTCAACCCCGCCATGCCAACAAGAACTGATGCTTCGATTTGGTCCGGGGGATTCAACAGATGATCCCACAAGAAAGCCTAACTTTGTGCATCTGTGCACGGCTTGACTTGTAAGGCTTGCTGATGCTTGTTGCGGTGGTGTAAATTTCTTCGGGCCAGCCAGTTGCCACTGGTAAATGACAAGAAGCACCGACAAACAGAAAACATATGCATCAGATGCTAAACCATGTCATTTTACATTGGTCCAAAAACTGCAATACATGCTACGTGCGTTCCAGTGTTTTGATTTGCAAACCAACTTTAGTGATCCTCCCAGGATAAAAGCTCCATAAGCTGTCAATAATCTCAAACGAAACCTTCTTATTGAATGTTTGGGTGGCTATACAATGAGGTGCATTATTTGCATGTGTGCAAGCATAATCAAGTATGCAGGTATACAGCATGCATGTATCATACACATATGGACATATAGGCATACAGTAAGGGCTGCAATTCGTGA